CATGACAATCAAACTCTGCGATAGATTTTGTGGCTCTGCTGTATGTTCAGCCTCCCCCTCTAATAGACAGATAAGGCTAACAGCACAAAAAATGCCCCCGTAGTTCAAAATGGCCCAAAAAGCTTAAATTTTTTTTTGCCATAAAATTGCACTTTTTACTTGTGCATAATAATTATGATCTATATATGAGCCTTATTATGCAAAATATTTTTTTATTTGCATTATTTTATTTTAATTCACACTTTATCTCATATATACTCATTTATTATTAGAATTGCGCCTTATTTTTATTTATAAAAAATATAAAAAAATCTATCATTTTTTAAAAAAATCATTATAAAATGATTCAAACATTAGATTTATTTTGAAATTAATGTTGAGTATATAAAATTAATAATTCAAAATTTTTATAGTAAAAATCTAATGATCGATGTTGAAATATATTTTAATATAATTTATATAAAATAAAATTTTAAAGTAAAAAAATAATAATAAATTTCAAGCCTCCAAAAATACGTTTACATTTAATTACAGTAAGAACTGAAAAAAATGGAAGAGAAACAACAGTGCAGAAAATAAAATATCAAATAATTAAAACTGGCGATGTGCATATCGCTTTTGTTATTTATATTAAACAATCTGTAAGCACCAATACAAAATACCTGCAAGAATTTCTTCTTATTCTTTAATCATGCAAATTATTGTTCTCCATATATGTGGCACGTAGTGAGAGCTGAATATTATAGATTAGATTAATAATAAAGTAATTATCCTCGCTAATCAACCTTTTCCTCTAAATAAGCTCGGTTAATTAAGGAGAATTTGCCTTAAAAATATTTTGATTATTTTTATGAGGAAGAATCTCATCAATTCGAATAAAAGAAATTAAAGAACGGATTAGCGAAGAAAGAAAGAAATTCATAAATCATAATTATTAATTTCTGTGTATCGATCCCATGATTCCCAACGTATACGATAATCCATCATAATATTAATGGCGCTGGCGCCGGCAGGGGAGGCGGCGGCGGCGCCGGCATCCAAGCGCTCGCGAAGAGCACGTCATGTCCTTTCCAAGTCAAAACCAGAATCTCCTCCTCATCCTTCTTCACTCCCCAGCCCGCCGAATGCTCGTCAACCATGCTCTTCAATTCGCCGACGGCTTCTTCGCCAAAGCCGACGCCTCTAAAGCCCACGCCTTTCATTCTCTGCACCCACTTGCTCCTCGTCTCCAACCTCTCCACTCTCTCCAATCCTTCCTGCGCAATCGCGTTCTCAATCTTCCAACAAATCGCTTCTTCATATCTCCGTCTCTGCTCCCCACCTTTCGGCAGGAAGCTATCCACCGCATCGAACGGTATCCACATGTAGTTGAAAGCGGCTCGAAGCCTTTCGACCACATTGCAGGCGGTGAAATCCGCGTCTTCTTCGACGACGATGAGGATCGTCGGGTCGAGCCCGCGCAAGGCGTTCAGAAACATGGTCCGCGGAACAATATTGGAATGCGATTGGGAAATATTGGGCGGCGCGGAGGATTCGTCCGGCGTGAAATGTAGCATGAAGTGAGAGTTGATTACGAGCGCTTCGGCGCCGGGTTCGGCGACGAGTTGTTGGAGGCGGAGATGTTCGATTAGGGAGGAGAAACCGTCGGCGGGGGTGGATTGGACGATGTTGAATTCCATTGCGAGGTTGCGGGAACGGGCGAAATTGACGAGTCGGGCGCCGAGTTCTTGGAGAGGGATTTCGAGGGCGGGGGGAGGGGAGGTGTCGGGCGGTAAGGAAGGGATGGTGACGCGGAGGAAAGGTGGGGATTCGGGGCGGCGGGCGGCGAGGGTTTCGATCAGGGTGGGGAGTTGCATGCCGTGAGTGGTGGAGAGGTCGACGATGTGGAGGATGGGGAAGGAGTCAGTGGCTTCGGCGATGGCGGAGTTGGCGGCGGAGAAGCCGAAGCGATGGCAGGGGGTGAGGTCGATGAAGGCGGCAAGGGAGGTAGCGGAGAGGGGGAGGTGGGAAGGGGGGGAGTGGTTGATGGATGAGAGGGCGGGGCAGGAGGAGCGGGAGGCGCGGAGGAGGAGCGCGCGGAGGAAAGCCGATGTAAGGCGTTGGTTGGTGTCGCCGTCGGGTGGAGCGATGTTGTGGAGGACCCAAAGAAGTTGCTGGGCGAGAGTGGCGTCGTGAGAGTCGATGGCGTGAGCGCAGTGGGCGAGTAGTTGCTCCATGCAGGCGGTGCTGTTAATGCTGAGGTTGTTGAGTTGGTGGGATTTGGAGGAAGAGGAGGAGGAAGATGAAGAAGGGAAGAAGTCCGGCCATGGTTGATTAGTTGTTTCTTTGAATTGCATGATGGATATATGTGATTGACAACAAGCGTGAGGCTTCAATGGAGCTAGTAGGGAAGAAGGAGAGATGAAGAGCTAGTTATTAAGAGAATGGAGGGGGTTGAAGAAGCTATAGCCGAGTGAGGACAAGAAGAGTTAGAGTTTGGAGGAGCTGGATTGTCGTTTAGGACTTTGGGCTTCTGTTCTTATTTGACCAATTGGAGGGGGAAAGATCAAATGAGGAAGATGAATATATAGTTAACAATAATGGAGAAAATTATTAATTCATGTGAAGAATTTGTTCATTGATTATATATATAGAAAGAAGGGGAAAGGGATGGAAGAGATGAGGAATGGATATCTATAACATAATTGTATGGGAGGTGGAATTAAGAGCTGGATAAAAGAAAGAGATGGGAGGGAATAAGGGCTGCCTTTATTAATTTGCTAGTCATTTAAGAAGACTTGTTTTTTGCCGTCGCCATCAGTGCAGGCTAATGCTTTGTGTTTTCTTTGGGAACAGTATATTGGATTAGTGAACTAGTTGGCTAATCAACACTTTTAATTTTTTTTTTAAAGAACAATGGACGATGAATTAGGGTTTTCTAAGATAATTAAATTGCGACGATTGAGATAGTTATGATAGTCTTCAAGAGCTTCAACAACACCGCCGACGAAACCCCATTGAATGTCGTTGGACCACAATCCGACTGTGGATCACCGCCGGACTTCCGGCCAACCGCCGTCGGACCACCGCTCGACTGCCGATGGCCACTGGACTTCCACTCGGCCTTCGATTGCCGCCGGATTTTTATTCGACCATAGTTGGACCACCGCCCGGCTGCTGACCATCGTCGAATATCAACCTAGTCGTTGACCGCCATCAGACTGCCGCCCGACCATTATCGGACTACCGCCCGGCCACCGACCACTGCAGGACTTCCACTCGGCTGTCAACCGTTGTTGGACTTCTGCCCGACCATAGTCAGACCACCACCAGCTGGCTTCTACATAGCCATCGAAAGTCGTTGGACTTCCGTACGACCGTCATCGGACCTTTGCCCAATTCTCCAATCTACTGTAATTTGAGCTCCTCTAAGTCAAGAGACAAACCAACCTTTGTAATCACTCACATTTAGTGGAATCTTTTCACCTGAGCATCACTAAAATGAAAATTTTATTTACTTTACCATCGCAAATATTCTAACATGCAACAATGATCAAAGGAATAAATTATGTAAATTAGTTAAATGAATTAATATGCATTTTCAATTTAGATTTTAAATAAATTAAGACTAAAATTGATGTTATCATCGTCTGGAGCTAGCATTATTTATGAATTCATATTTTTTTTTTTAAGAATTTGGTTTTGTTTGAGAGATATTCTTTATTGCTTTGTAAAGTTGTAGAAAATAGATTTTTAGTACAATTTCTTTAAAAGCAACGAACAAATAATGGTCAAATAAAACTTATTTTTGTACTAAAAATTATTTTAAAAAGCGGTAAGAAAGCTGTTTCAGGCTTCGTTTGGGACGACTTTCTTTCTGCTTGTTAAAACAACTTTTTAGTACATAAATTAAAATTCTTATACTAAAAAAATGCATTAAGAAGTAATAAAAAAGTTGTGCCAAACAAAACCTTAATCTCTTTCATCATGAAATGGATAATCATAACTTCATCAACGTAATAGAATTACAAAGTTTTTCCCATGACTGATATACTTGCATATGGTGTGGGGGAAATAAGGTAATAGAAGAGCTCGAAAAATGCTGAATTGATTTTCGCTGTTATAAAATGGAGCCATAAATTTATATTGTTTTAAAATTTAATTAAATATTTATTATTTTATTAATTTATTTTAAATTTATAATTAAAATCAATGCCTTAATTTTGCCCCACTTTTTGTTAATTACTCTAATAAAAGTAATTATTGATGGTTAGACAGAAATATTTTAACAATTGTTTTTATAAAATTCTTTTAAATATTTTTTTGGACAAAAATAATTTTAATCATACAAATGATGATTACATTTTTTTTTATTCTATGACTAAAAAAATATTACTTATGATATATAAAATTTAATCATAAATATGACTATAACTCAAAATTATTATAATATCATTAATTTCTTTTTTCTATAAGATGAATTCCAATGTACTAATATTCATCATTATCAATGCTACTATAGATAAAAAAAATTATAGCTCTTTTTTAGCTTAACTCACCTAATAATATTTTAAATTTATAATGAACATTTAAGTATGAATTCTTTTATAATTTATGAAGAAGAACTTTCTCAAAGCCTACAAGATGAGCATAATTTTATAAATTAAGTAACTAAAATGGGCTATAATTTTTTATAAAAGGATAGTAATCTAATTAATATATATTTTATACAAGAATACAAGGCCAATTATAAGATTTTAAGCAGATTCATATATATTTTAAGTATGAGAAACAGAGATAAAACTCATGACCTCATAATTAAGAGTTGTGGTATAAATCATTAGTTCATAGCTCGATTCATTAAAATGGGTTATAATTAGAACCATTTATATAGACTTAGGCCTAGCTTCTTAAAGTTATTTTTTTAGTGCAAAAATTAAAATTTTTGTATTAAAAAGCTGCTTTAACCAGCAGTAGAAACGCCGTTTCAAACGAAACCTTACTTGGGTTTGGGGTTGTATTTTAATCAAGTTTTAACTGGGACCCCTTGGGATTAATAACCTTTAAGATTTTAAAACCAGCTTTAGGTTTATTTTTATTTATTTTTTAAGAAAAAAAAGCTGACTATGGAAGGCTGAAAGCTATTGCATGACCAACATTTGTAATAAATGATGCAACTCATCTTGATCTGTTGGTTGAGAAATCTAACTATCAATCTAGAGATATTGAATTCAAAGCTTACTTCTGTATTGTGTGTATGATTTTGCTATAATTGACTCAAAAGTCCCTAACAAAACAGCTGTGATAAATCTAAATTTATTTCCTTTACTTGATCAATCATTTAGAACATAAATTAGAGTTCACATTATAAACAAAAATTCAACTTTTGTTATTATTTGTCATTTCCTACACTATGGAGATATTAAGTAGTACATTTATACAGTACATTGGCATAAATTCTCCTTAAATCCATTTTTACTATTGAAGATCCACTAAGAATTACAATATAAATCTTATTATTGCACTACAGGAAAATAGCGTATTTCCAGCGGATTTCAAAATTTTCCGGCGAAAACGATTTCGACGGTAAATCGAGCGTCGGTAAAATTTTCCATCAAAAAAAAAAAACTGCCGGAAAAAATTTCCAGACTTATTTCGCCGGAAAACTTTTCCGGCGGGCTGTCCGACGGAAATACTCTGCCGGAAAAAATAAAAATGATTTATAGAGAGAGCTGTATTAAATACTCTGCCGGAATTTCCGTCGGTAATAAGCTATTTTTCTTTAGTATTGGTCGAGGAAAAGAGTGATCATATGAGGAGAGAGAGCTATGGATGCCATTGGCTTTAATTTGGAAGCTTATGAGGCAGCCGGCCTCCATCAGGCCATTAGATTGTCTGCATACAGAATTTGTGTTTTTGTCATTTTATGAGAGAGAGAGAGAGAGAGAGAGAGAAAATTATATATGAGCTTTTTTCAGTGTTTTTTCCTTCTTGGCTCCTATGACGATGGCCTAAATTCTCAGCTTTGTCTCCCCTACAACATTATTAGAGACTATATGAACAAATTTGTAAGGTCAAATACAATATATTTCTTCTGATATTAGAGTTAGCACATCATTCCATTAAAAAAAAAAATTTTGACATGATATTTTAAAATAATTGATGGGTCCTCAATAAGAAGACATTTTCGGGTAACAGACGAAGAAAACGATAATGCATCTTATGGCTGTATTGTTCTAAACTGAAGAACTTAATCGTATAGGATCTCTAGCTATTATCCAAAGATTTCAGTTGGTGGACTGCTAAATTTTTTTCTGCTCAGAATATCTTCTTCATAATTTAATTTGAAATATAAGTCATTAATTGATGACATGCAAGATGCGTCTTCTTTGTTCTGTAAGAGAATAAATATGTTTTTTTAAAGATAATTACCAAAAATTAAGCTAATTGTTTTAGAAGGATACAGTGATTTGAATCTTATCCGAAGAGTGAGGAGTGCGAAATGGACAGGAAAAAAAGAACAAATTTTGATTAAAAATGCGAGAGAGACGGGTTAATCTGATCAAGTTGATTGGAAGACAAAGTTAGAGGCCTGTCAAATTTGTCTCTTTTCTAAATATACGATAAGGATTTCATGCCGGCCGGCGCCGCGCCCCTTCTCCTCCTGACCAGCCTCAACACCACCGCAGCGCCGGTGAGTCGATGATGCTCGCGATTTCTTTCTTCGCGAACATCCCCCCTATGAGCTCAGATCACGTTAAAAAACGTCAGCTTTCTTGTACGTAGTTTGCTGCCTATTCAGATATCTGAAGACTCCATATTTGATATTGACGCTTTCAAAATTACTGTGGCAATGAGCCAATGATGATTAGATAGCTTTAAGAGAGATGAAAATTTTTATATTTGTTGCATCCCGAAAAATTCGTGGCAATAGAGACTGATATAATTTAGCGTCTTAATTTTGTACGAAGATACAACACACAAATAGAAAAGAGAGTATTGTTATAACATTTATAAAAGACACCATAATTTTTACGGGGGTTTAAATGAAAAAAAAATTATGGGGCTCATGCTCAGTTTGAATGAATCCACTAGTGTTTGCAATTGATTACAAATGAGGCCCTTCCTTAGGAGGAAGGTTGTGACTCGAAGTAGCAAATGTACATCATATAGAGTGCATTATATGATAGGAGTTGGAAGAATCGGTGTTGATATGTTTGTTTAGACGGCAGGACTATAATCAGCAAGCGATGTAGGTAAGAAGGACTGTAGTTGGATGACGGTGGTCGGAAGGACCATAGTTGGCGAGCGACGTAGGTTTGTAGGACCGTAGTAGGCGGACAACGGAGGTCTGAAA